ATTTAATAAAATTTCTTTTAGCCGATTATGCTGCACTCTGTCAAATGCCTTCTCAAAATCAATGAAACAGGCATATACTTCCTGATTAATATCTAAGCATCTCTGCGAAAAAACACTTACTGCAAATAGTGCATCTCGTGTTTCCAGTCCTTTCCTAAATCCCATTTGTGTATTACTTATGCCTTCATCAAATTTCTTATGTATTCTATTGTGAATTATTTTTAAAAACAATTTGAAGACATGACTTATTAAGGCTATGGTGCGACGTTCATTGCACTCCTTTGCATTGGCTTTTTTGGGAAGCAGTATCATCCTTAAATTCTTTTGGTGGTTCTGTTCTCTCTTTGTCTTCAAAAAGTTGTGCTATATATTGTGTCCATCTCTGCATTTTTTGGTTTATATCTGTTATAAGTGCACCACTTTAATCTCTTAGTTGCCTAGTTTGAAGTGTTTTCTCATTCCTGTTAATTCTGTAATTCTTTTATGTATGTTAAAAAAGTCATATTTTTTCTTAATTTCTTCTAGTTGTCACTGCTCATTTAACATTCTCTCCTTAGCTTCTTTTATTCTCTTTTTAATTATTCGATCAGTTTCATTATATTCAATTGGATTTTTCGTTTTGAACGATTTTCTTTTCTTCATTAATAGTAGTATTTCTTCAGTCACCCGGTCTTTATGTTTTCTATTCTATGGTTTTAAGTTTTCATTTGCTACTTTTATATTTCTGATCAATTTTATAACTTCTTTTATTCAGTTCTTGGGCATTACGTAGATTTTATAGGCTCGATCGTATTAACACACATCGACACTCGTGGGTATGGGTGGATAAGCACGGGAACGCTCGTCCACACTTGTCGACTAGCAATCAATGATTCGCTATAACTTAGATATTTTTCACCAATAATTATTTTTAGGTTTTTCTGTTAAAAATTAATTATAAATATTAAAAAATTAAAAACCTTATTTTCGGGCCCCAAAAATTACGAGCCCTAGGGACGCGCCTAGGATACCTCCGCCCCTGAACACGAAAAAAAAAAAATATATTCGTATGCTAATATATTCGTATGCTGTGATAACTTATGCATCAAAAATACTGAAATAGGATGTATACGGTTGTTTCTTGCATTATTTGAAACCCTCTTTTCGCTAGCAACATTGTATGTGTATATAAGTAATAAACCATATAATCAAATATGAAATTGCTCGGTGCATTAACCGACTATTGGCGAGATTTGCTACTCTGTTCTTTTTTCTTCTTTTGGGTCATTATGATGATTACATCCGAAGAGCACACATCACTCGGGAAATGGCTCCTGCTGAATAAATGATCTACATCCTACCAACAACGTCTTGTTTTTGTCTTATTTCGGTTTTTATTTATTTTTTCTTCAAATCGTTTCATTCTCGTTTTATATTAACGGTCTCATGGGTATTTTTAGCTATTAAAAGCGTGCGTACTTTCAAGATGTTTATTGAAAGAGTTGTTGAACGGTAGAGGTGGGTGTAAATAAATATTAGGGATGCATGGAGCTAAATTTTTTGTAAAGATTGATACTTCGCTGTGACTAAAGAAGATTTAGCAATAAAAGATTGATGTTATTTATATTAAAAACCATAGAAAGAATTAATAAATGATAGAGAGGGCGTCAAGAAATATTAGTAATACTATTTTCCCTTCTTTTTTTATTCCAGGGATTAGGAATTTGTTGCCTGTTCCGGCGTGAAACTTCGACCTATATTTTCAAATGGCATCTTAAACTTCCGTATTTCTTTGTGTAGTCGATTTTCATCCTTCATGTTTTTATGTTATTTTCATTTTGTTCTGTATTATTTTATATTCTCTTTGATCAAATAGATATTCAGGTGTTGTCTTTCTCTAGTAAGTCTTGTAATGAATTTCACATTTCTGAGAAATCTCATTTCGCTAGCTTTGATTCTAGAGTAAAGGTATCCACGCATTTGCCGAACCGGGCGGTAACGGAACGCACCACGACGATCGGCAATGTAATGTCTTTGTGTATTCAAATAATTCTGTGTGCACCTTAAGAAAACGTAACATGTCGACACAGAACGACGCCGAAAACTCTGAATGGAATATTTTCGCTATTAGTGTGTAGCAGTGCGTTGTTTGGTGACTTAGTAACTACCGCACCGGAGCAAACCGAAAATAAAATGTAAGAAAAAAATTGATAAAACAAAAAAACGTTAAATATTATTAATACTTTTGAAAGAAAGATATTGGGATCTATCTGTGAGAATGGTAAGTGGAGAAAAAGGTTCAACCACGACTTATATCAATATTACAAAAGAACCTTCCTACAAATTATACAAAAATACAAAGATTGCGCTGGGCAGGTCACCTTATAAAAATGGATAATAATAGAACACCTAGCAGAACGCTTACTGGAACTATAGTGGGACATTGGCCAGTAGGAAACCCGAGGAAGAGGTGAACAGACGAAGTGAAAATCGATGCCAAAGACATATTGAGGGTTGATAACTGGCGGAGAGCAGCTAAGGAAAGGGATGCTTGGAGGCGAAGGCCTGTTTCAGACTTGAGCTGTAGCACCAGAACGAACCGGAAAATAAAATGGAAGACGACAAATTGATAATCGTAATTATTATGAATATTATCCAGATTTAGTCATATGGCTCACACTTCCTCTAAGAGGAAAATTCATTTATCCCGGTAGGTATTTGTTACGGTATCAAAACGATTGAGCTCTGGTGGGACTCTTTCCGTACTATCGAGACCTAGGTGACTTGGTATGCTTGAGTACCTCCCAAAAATTTTCGTACACATCTGGACGTCGCAAGGAGTATAGCTTTCTGCATGACCTTATGGAGATGTTCATTTAGACCCAGTTGTTTTATGTTCTCTAGGAGGTTTTTGGGAATAACATCAATAGTAGAGAGAATAATAGGTACTGTCTGGGTACTTTCCATGCTCCATTGTCTCCTAATTTGTATTTCTAGATCTCTGTAGTTGGCAATCTTTACGTTGTATTTAACACGAAAATTATTGGTGTTAGGTATCGCCACATCAATAAGTGTTTTTTGCCTAGTAAGTTTATTAACTAGCATGAGATCCGGTCTCTATTATGTGCCACTGTTTGGTCCGTGAGCACATTTCGGTTCCAGTATAGCTTGTAGTTTTCATTTTTAAGCTTGAACTTTACTCTGACTATATTTAATATACGGCACTTGCCTAGTCCAAAATGCATACGGATATCGTTTGAGAAAGTTTCTTCAGTTTTTAGCATCTGATCTAGGTGGTTTCGAGTGGAAACCATTAATTTCAAATCATCCATATACAACAGATGATTGAGCTTCGCCATAACAGTATTAGAATCATAAACGTAAATGTGATGAACCGATTGGAGAGAATTGCTGCTAATAATAAAAAGAAGAAAAACTGCTTATCTGGGTGATATATTTCGAAATTCCAAGTACCAGTTCTTAAAGCTTCTTATGGAAAGGGAAGGTAGAAGGAAAACGGGCATCGGAAGAAAGAAGTACTCATGGATTGGACAAATCTCGATGCCCATGCACTCTTTAGAGCCACACAAGATCGAGAGGAGTATACCAGAATTGTCGCCAACATCCACCGATTGGATAGGGCACCATAAGAAGAAGAATAACCGTATTGTTATTTTTGATACAAAATCCTGAGTCAGTGGGGTTCAGCAACTGAGATCGTTAGTTCATAGCTAGGCAGAACCAACGTGAACTGAAGTCTACCTGGAAAAGGCCCCGGTTAATTGCGATATCTTCAGTTTCGATATTGATTTCACCATGTATTTGAAGGTGAATTTTGTCTTCTACTCTGCCAATATATGCTTACTATAAGGTCACGAGATTATCATCGACTTTATATATTTTGAATATATATAAGCCATTCATTCGGTACTGAATCAAAGGCCTTCTTGTAGTCAATGAAGGCAGTAAAAATGTTTCTTTTTTTATGTATGCCTGGTTAGACATGACTGAGTCAATAATTGTTCTGTTCAACCGATGTAGCCCTTAGAGCATCACTTATGTTAAGGCTCTATGATATTGTTTAGAGCACAGTGTTGGTAGATACGCTGGGCTACACAGAATGTGACCAATTTGTACAAAGTTTGAAGACAAGTAATTGGGCGGTTCTTAGCTGGATCTTCCCTAGTATTTTGATCCTTCGGTATTAGATAAGTGGTTCCCTGAGTAAGAAATGATGGTACTTCCTGTGAATTGGAAATAATATGATTAATTAATACTGTTTTATGAATATTATTATTACTATTATCTATTCTGGTAGAATACAGCTTTTTAAATATCGTACTTTGTTTTGTGAGGACATTTTTTACAGTAGATAAAAGTTCTTGATATTTTTTGTAACTCTTTTTGAAGTATTGATAAAATTTGTCTTGATGATCGATAAAATTAGGAAATAAAGTAGCAAATTCACTTTCCGTTTTTTGCTTTTTACAAATTCATGCACCCATTAATTAATTAGTGTTAATAACACTATTTTTTTATTTCTTATTTTTTTATTTATAATAATATTTATTTACACTGACTTAGCAGACTCGCTGGTCAAATGCGCATTGCGGCATTTAATTACGGGCTGTAGCGGTGCCTTCTGTTGCCGGCCGGTTCAGTCAAGTGCGCGCGTACCTTTATCTTCTTCGAGTAGGTGTAGCTATTGTAGTATAAAGTTTTATTATTGTATCGTTTCTTCGTTTGTCTTCTTATAAATATATGTATATACACACATATACACCGACAAGCACACACCTAAAAAATACATCTAACATTAAGATGAATATATTTTGTCGAGAACTTTTACGATATTTGAATGATTATTCTGCTATTCGTATGTTACACGAATTCAAAAAAAAATATTAAAATCCGTACAGCCGTTATTGAGTTATAAATGGCGTAACTAATACGATTTACTACTTTATGTATTCACTTTTTTTATTTCTTACACTCAAGTAACGTTTTATGTTTTGTTACAGATGGCGGAGACTGTAAAGAAATCTAGAATAGTAAGTGATGAAGAAGAAAATCTCGAAGAAGCTTTACTGGAAGAGTTTAACATGAGACTAAAAAATTGCATGAGCAAAGTGTGTATTTTTGCTGATTTTTTTACCACAACTTCAAAAGGGAATTAGGACGAATTGTCTTATGTGAAAGTATCAATATTAATTATTATAGTCTATTTAATTAAATATTAATTTCACAGAAAGATACATTTTTAGTTTCTTTTCTAGTTCTAAAATAAATGACCTTAAAAACACAAAATCTAATCTTTTTGGGGCTTAATTAACTGCAATTATCTTTTTTATGAAATTTTAGAACTCATTTAACTGAACTAATAATAAAGTACAAAATCAAAATTTATTCAATTTGAAAGACAAAAAATTTTTGTCTGTCTAAGTTGTATTTTTATACACGGTGTCCCAACTAAAATCCAAAAACCGGTCGATTTTATATCGAGGGGGGCAGTTTGTATGCGAAAGTTTTTCTTGCAATTTTACTGCAGGATGCAAGCCACTACAAATTTTTAAATGGAATGAAGAGTCAAGTGACTCATATTTTGAAATGTTTAAAAATTAAGTAAGTTAATAAGAATGCAATGGTGACTAAAAATAACATCAAAACCAATGACAACGTCAACTTATTCGCCATAGTTATAAGATCGTATTCAACTATTCTGGTTGTTTGGTTTATTCCAAAGAAGAATTTTTGTACTATAGTAGAAGTCATAGTTAATATGATGCAGTGTTTCAAAAATATTTACTCATTAATTTAACTGAGTTGAAGGGAATAAATAAAAAAAAAATTAATTCTACAAAAAATGCCTGTACACATAAAATATCCAATACTTCGTGAATACTTATATACATACTAGCTGACCCGGCCACGCGTTGCTGTGGCTAAAGTTTTTGTTATATTTCATTATAGTAAACAATCTAAGAGGAACAATAAGAGAACATCAGTCACGGAGTCCACTATGCTTTTTCACACACATGGTATTTGTAAAATAATATGGTGATCTCCTTATTTGACTTTCTACTACTATAACCCTTTAGTACAATGAAATTATTTACGAACAAAGACGAAAATGTTGATGTTGGTATACAAATTCACTGGATTGAGATTTGAAGGGGAAGTACCATGGGGAAGTACGTTGAACACAATTAATTAAAATGTTCTTACATTTGATATTAAGCAGAAATCAATAGGTACAAAATAAAAATTTATCAGATTTATTATTTCCGTTTAATTTTTCAATTTCAATTTAATTTAACACCAATCGGTGCACAATGTTTTTGGTTAACCTGTCTTTAGCTAACACAAATAGATTCGACGATTTCCCAACACGTGAACACGCAACATATAGTTGCCCATGAGAAAAACATGGATTTTCCAAATCTAAACCATAAATGGACATTGTTTGACCTTGAGATTTATTTATAGACATGGCGAAAGCTAAACGAATTGGAAACTGTAGCCTTTTGAAGGGCATGGTAGAATCTGATGGTATCATCGGAATACGTGGCAGCAGGACCACTTTTCCTTTAAACTTCCCAGCCAAAATGGTTGCTTCAAGAATGTTTCCGGTGATCTTTTTGATGACCAAACGCGTACCGTTACATAATTGAGGTGGATTCAAATTACGGAGGAGAATAATAGGGGAACCAATCTTTAATCGAAGATTATGTGGTGGCATTCCAGGGATATCTAATGAATTTAAAAATTCTATCGGAAAATTTACACTTTCATTTTCATCAACAACAGTATCGATTGATTTAAAAAACATTAGATCACCTGGTAACAACTGTTGTATCTGGAAGTTAATTTCGTCAACATCAACGTTTTTGGCTGCCAAAATCGCCCGTTGACTAAGCCATTCATGATTCAAATAATTATTCTGTATATCCGGGAAAATATTCTGAATCAATTCATTTTTATCCTGAACAACAGTGCAAAAATTGTCTGGAAGTTTAATGCATTGCGTATTTGGTTGCAGTTCTATTTTACCGTTCCCAATATCTAGTAGTTGTTCGGAAAATATTTGTGCTGATGGATCATTTTGCAATTGTACTCGCATATTTATGGTCAATCGAAGTGTTTCAACACTTCGCCATAAGAATGATTGTTTCAAACATGCATTAATCTCATCCGCGAAAGTAGAGCGAGGTATAACCGGTAAGGTCTGCCGGAAGTCACCAGACAAAAGTAAGATAGCACCACCGAAAAGTTTATTATTGCTGTTTAAATCTTGCATAGTTCTGTTTAATGCTTCAAGTGAATATTTGTGTGCCATTGTGCACTCATCCCAAATTATTATAGAACTCTTTCGCAACACTGCAGCTATTCCACTATTCTTTTTGATGTTACACATTGGATCTGGTTTATTACGAACGTCCAATGGCAGCTTGAATGTTGAATGTGCTGTTCGCCCACCATCCAGTAAAGTAGCCGCAATGCCTGACGATGCTACTGCTAATGCGATTTTTTGTTGCGACCGTATTTTGGCAAGAATCAACGATATTAAAAATGTCTTACCGGTTCCACCGGGTGCATCCAAGAAAAGAAAACCGCCTTGTTCAGCAGCAACAGCCAGCATAATCCGATCATAAATATTTTTTTGTTCTGCTGTCAGTAATGGTTCACTGTTCATGATAATTATTGCTAAACTTCCATGGTCATATTGATTTTCCCGTTGTAAATCGGTATTGACTAAGTCGGTGGCTGGACGATTAGGTGATGGCATACCATAATGATTAAGTGGTAAATTTGAAATAAGAACACATAAATCCTCGATCAAGACCAATGCTTCATTGTACATCTCTGGTGTATAATCTATGTTTTGGCATTGATTTGTTTGTCTAATTCGGTGCAAGATGTCTTCTGTCATACAATTTTTATATTTTTCCCACAAAATTTGTGCTTGCGAGGGATAACATGTCGTCAAAATAATTGCAAACAACTGACGAATGTTATTCGGTGTTGATGTCAACGCAGCATCAGCAAGCGTTAAGTCCCAATGGTTATCGTCTTCTAGCAATTGCAGTTCACGACATGCATCCTGGTATGTATTGGGAAAGCTGAGAATATGCCAAATAGCTTCATTGCTGCTAATGTATCTGCCCATTTGGTATCGTGCTATTTCGTCATTTTTATTTATGTTTTGTACTTCAAATATAGCCAAATCACTGCCTTTGTTTACATATTTACAAATATACTTAATTGATTTAACAGAACTGCAAAGCTCAATATTGATATGAGCTTTGTAAGTTTTTGAAAGTAGTGGTGAGTATGGTACCACCCACTTATTATCAAACTCAACTTGATTTGGAAAGTTCGGCAGTCGCATTGTAAATGTGTGGCCATTGTAAATGTGTATCCAAATACATTGGATAACCATCAATATCCGTGATCGTGTCATTCGTATGCGGCTTTGGGAAGTTTTTTTACATTTTCCATTTTCCATGCACGGTGACGTCATGTTGAAAGCACCGCATGGCCCATGGATCATGTGTTTGGTGACAATATCAAATAATTCTTGATCAATTAATGGGTCTGGAATTTCGGCTGAAATTATTTGATCGATTTCTTCAGGACGGATTCTATCTTTAAGCCAAACCAAAATGTGGGCTTGAGGCAAACCTCGCTTTTGCCACTCTATCGTATACAGCCAACAACGTGTGATACCAAAAATTGAATATTTAACAATAAAATCAATTAAGGATTTCAATTTTTGTTTAAATACACGTGCAGTTAAATCATGACGATGAATGGCTTGTTGTCCTGGCAATAGTAAAGTTTGTATCTCTTCCCAATTCGGATTACATGTGAATGTAATAAATAAATCCGGTCGGCCGTAATGACGTACGTAAGTCATCGCATCTTGTATGTATTCCTGCATGTTCCGTGGACTGCCAATGTAGCTTGAAGGTAAAATGAAAGCATTACCGATGTCATTGGGATTTAAATTTCCATCGATGTTTCCAGCAACAGCATCTCGTAAGTGAATATATTTTTCCGATCGTAGTTTTGCCTGGTTGAATCGAAGGAATCGCAAGCGTTCGCTTTCGACCTTAGCATACATATCAACAATGTATTGATGGAACAGCTGACGATATCGAAGGATATAATTGTCTTGATGTTGCCTAACCATTATTCGGTGTGCGTAGTAGTTCATTGAGCTAACTTTATTATTTCTGTAATCACCTAAAAAAAAAAAAAAAATGCAATATGAAATTAAAATCTATACATACAGTAAGAAAGTAAATAGATAATTGTCAAATTTACCGGTGTTTGGATCATATTGTTTGATATTAAGATGATATTTATCTTGTCCTTGCCAAAATATCAATGGATATTGTAGTGCGTCATATGAACGGTGTAGATCCGAAATCGTACTGACAGTGTTGTCTCGCCGTGTAATTTTTATAGATCTTTTGTCAACTGGATCACCAACCATGATAACAGCAACCTCATCAACAGTTGGGGCGTTGAATCTACCAGCATGTTCACCTAATGGTACCTTGTCGGCTTTTATGACGATTTGATAATTGTCATTTTGCAGTCGTGGCGAAACTCTTTTGATCAATTGAATTAGTTGATTGTGATCTTCTAAAAAATTTTCCAATAATATCATAATATCATAATTGCTCTTTCCTCTGCTTGTTCAATAAAATTATACAGGCACCGAGTCGTCACGCGCTCTTCACAATCGCCCATAAAATAAATTTGAAGAAATTTCGGATTGTTATCAGGCATTGGCATCAGTGATCCGATTTTATGGTACACCTGGCCTTGAATTTTGAATGTAGTTTCAAAATTACGTCCATCGGATGCACGATCGCAAATTTTAGTTGCCCCAAATGACGTCATTTGGAAGCAAGAATTAAATTTGCGTATCTTACGCAAAAATAATTTGGAATCATCTGAATTACCAGTAAGAAGGGATAATAAAGGCTCAGGCGGAGCGGGTATAGGTGACAGCACAACTTTTCCTGATGCGCAGCACATGCCGGCTGCTTCATTCCGAAATTTCAATGCCTGACAATATTGACATACCTTATCCATTCCACCGATAGAAATTTTTGAA